ACCCTCTACCACCATCACAACCACTACCACCCTCTACCACAATTACTACTACCCTCTACCACCATCAGTACCACCCTATACCACCATCACAACCACTACCACCCTCTACCACAATCACTACCATCCTCTACCACCATCACTACCATCCTCTACCACCATCACTACCACTAGCATCCTCTACCACCATCACTACCATCCTCTACCACCATCACTACCACTAGCATCCTCTACCACCATCACTATCACCCTCTACCACCCTCACAACCACTGCCACCCTCTACCACCATCACTACCACTACCACCCTCTGCCACGATCGCAACTGCTACCACCATCACTACTACTACCACCCTATACCACCATCACTACCACTACCACCCTCTACCACCATCACTACCACCCTCTACCACCATCACTACCACCCTCTACTACCATCACAACCACTACCACCCTCTTCCACCATCACTGCCATTACCACCCTCTACCACCATCATTACCATCCTCTACCACCATCACAACTGCTATCACCCTCTACCACCATCACTACCACCCTCTACCACCATCACAACCACTACCACCCTCTACCACCATCACAACCACTACCACCCTCTACTACCATCACAACCACTACCACCCTCTACCACCATCACTACCACTACCACCCTCTACCACCATCACTACCACCATCACTACTACCCTCTACCACCATCACTACCACCATCACTACCACCCTCTACCACCATCACTACCATTACCACCCTCTACCACCATCATTACCACCCTCTACCACCATCACTACCACCCTCTACCACCATCACAACCACTACAACCCTCTACCACCATCACAACCACTACAACCCTCTACCACCATCACAACCACTACCAACCTCTACCACCATCACAACCACTACCACCCTCTACCACCATCACAACTACCCTCTAACACCATCACAACCATTACCACCCTCTACCACCATCACAACCACTACCACTCTACCACCATCACTACCACCCTCTACCACCATCACAACCACTACCACCCTCTACCACAATTACTACACCCTCTACCACCATCAGTACCACCCTATCCACCATCACAACCACTACCACCCTCTACCACAATCACTACCATCCTCTACCACCATCACTACCATCCTCTACCACCATCACTACCACTAGCATCCTCTACCACCATCACTACCATCCTCTACCACCATCACTACCACTAGCATCCTCTACCACCATCACTATCACCCTCTACCACCCTCACAACCACTGCCACCCTCTACCACCATCACTACCACTACCACCCTCTGCCACGATCGCAACTGCTACCACCATCACTACTACTACCACCCTATACCACCATCACTACCACTACCACCCTCTACCACCATCACTACCACCCTCTACCACCATCACTACCACCCTCTACTACCATCACAACCACTACCACCCTCTTCCACCATCACTGCCATTACCACCCTCTACCACCATCATTACCATCCTCTACCACCATCACAACTGCTATCACCCTCTACCACCATCACTACCACCCTCTACCACCATCACAACCACTACCACCCTCTACCACCATCACAACCACTACCACCCTCTACTACCATCACAACCACTACCACCCTCTACCACCATCACTACCACGACCACCCTCTACCACCATCACTACCACCATCACTACTACCCTCTACCACCATCACTACCACCATCACTACCACCCTCTACCACCATCACTACCATTACCACCCTCTACCACCATCATTACCACCCTCTACCACCATCACTACCACCCTCTACCACCATCACAACCACTACCACCCTCTACCACCATCACTACCACCCTGTACCACCATCACAACCACTACCACCCTCTACCACCATCACAACCACTACCACCCTCTACCACCATCACAACCACTACCACCCTGTACCACCATCACAACCACTACCACCCTGTACCACCATCACAACCACTACCACCCTGTACCACCATCACAACCACTACCACCCTCTACCACCATCACTACCACCCTCTACCACCACCACTTTCGTATTTTTCTACAAACTTTCTCTTTAATTCTATAGTGTTTCTCACCTTCTTTACCAAAGGGCTGGCACTAGAAGCTTTCTTTGGGCCCATAGTGGCTTATGTAGCAGTGGCAAGCACATAAAAAAAATGTGTTATTATGAAATGTATCGTATGAACACATAGGGTGATGATCACTCACCCAGAAACAATGCCACACTGACTCTGAATGGTGTGTGGGAGCCTTTATGTGTGCAGGGCTGCTGGGAGGCTGCTTGGACGCATTCTGTACGACCACCAAATTTTGAGGCAAATCACGAAACTTGAGGTTATATTTTGATGAAAAAGTTGCCGATACTTGAAATTCACGAAACTTGAGACTCATGAAATTTGGGGGGTCCACTGTATTAATACATCAAAAACACTGGCTTGTAAGATGTATATATACAACAAAAACAGTCAAAGGATTAAGAGTAGGTTTGTAGTTATGTAATCTACAGATCAAAATACAGTGGAACCTCAAATATCGAACTTTCTTCAGTCCAGAAGGCTGTTGGAGTGCCTTTACCGAATGAATTTATTCCCATCAGGAACATTGTAAATTAGATTAGTCCATATCAGACCCTCAAAAATACACTTATAAAAGCACTTACAAAAATACACTTACATAATTGGTTGTGTTGGGAGCAGTTCGATTTTTGAGGTTCCACTGTAAACTATAATGTGCAGAATATCAGGCAGACTTCAACTAGGACTAAGATAGAGAGGCATTACGTACTAAAGTACAGTACAGTATCTGAATGATTTTTATTTTTTTTTTTTTTTTTGAGCTGCACTTACAAACTTTACACCAATCTTCAGTACATAATGGTACTGTGTTATTGTTATCTGTTTATTAATCTGTTGGTTCTCCTTGTTTCTCTTTCTACTTTATTACTGTACCAGTACAGCTAATTATTTTCATGTATACCCTGTGCTTTGAGGCAGTGCTTCTGATCTTAGCTAACTAAGCAATAATCTTGAAAATTAGACGTGTGCAATATCCGGGTATCTTTATTGTAGACATCTTCCCAACCAGTGGCTTTAACAATACAAATTAGTGATAAAGCCATTGGTTGGCAAAATGTCTACAGTAGAGATACTGTATGTGTTTAAACACACAGACTAATGCACCAGTGCTGTTTCCAAGACTTGGCAAGTGATGGTCTAGATTCACTGATTTTATTGTTGTAATTTTTGTGATTCTAATATGAAATGTGGCAAGAAGAACACTGGTGAAATTTACTTTTGAATTTAGGAAATGTTGGTGGAAAATGGCCACTGTTATAAAAAAATTATATACAAGTTCAGTGCATTTTAATGATTGTATTAAATCCAGGATAAGTGAAGATAAATACATTATCCTTCATTGTAAGCCTCCCATTTTACAGTTGTTTTCTTGTACTCTGGGTGATGATTTAGGTAATAACTTTGGTAAACATTATGGCAATTCCCAGATTGTATATGTACTTTACCTCCCCAAATAATTATGATGGACTGCTAGTGGAACTTCTGAGTCTTGTATATTTTCAATTTTCAGTGTTCAGTTTTCAGTTGCATGTCTCTAGGGATGGATACAAATGCCTCTCTACTCTAATAGCTTTCTCCAAAAAATACAAAGTGCAGTATGTATTATATTTTGCTTTTAGTAATTAAAGTTTGCAATGCACAACAACACGTAATCCGTGTAGGGTTATTTTTTTTACCAAGTGCTAAACCCATGTGGGTCACTCAGCACAAAGAAGGGGGAGGCTTGATCCTCAGTATGGTAATAGTGAGACAGATAAGATAAGATAAGATAAGATTTCATTCGGATTTTTAACCTCGGAGGGTTAACCACCCAGGATAACCCAAGAAAGTCAGTGCGTCATCGAGGACTGTCTAACTTATTTCCATTGGGGTCCTTAATCTTGTCCCCCAGGATGCGACCCACACCAGTCGACTAACACCCAGGTACCTATTTGCTGCTAGGTGAACAGGACAACAGGTGTAAGGAAACGTGTCGAAATGTTTCCACCCACCGGGAATCGAACCCGGGCCCTCCGTGTGTGAAGCGGGAGCTTTAGCCACCAGGCCACAGTACATGTGTACTACCGAGATGTTCTTGCCAATTTTTCTTTCAATGTAGGCGAAATTAACAGACAAGTGATGTCTTCATCATTCACACATGTTTCTGCAAATAAAGATGCAGCATTCTATTTTGATGGAAATTATTGGAGAAAATAAGTACAGTTAGCAGGTGTTCACTGTGGGTAGTTCAGCGTTCATTGTTTTTCCTCCATATTTTTATAACAACATATTTCTGTGGTGGTGGAGGCCCCCAAAAATTTGACTGCATTTAGGAGCTAGCTTTGCTCAGAGATGTACATCAGTCCTCCATTGCACCATTCCAGCACACCTCTCTCCAGTAAATTGCCTTCCTTTGGGCCAGTCTGTGTCTGGCTGCTGGTTCCCCTTCCATTGAACAGGAGCTTCCTCCATGTCTCTGGTGCTGGTACTGAAGTATGATTGAAGGTGGTCCCCCTTAGGGTTCTAACCATAGTACAATATACTGATCATGGTTTCTGCTGTTGTTTCAGCTGCTAGCTCTTGTTGGCCACAACAGGCAAGGATCGATATGTGATTGGAGGTGAAGGAGGCATATTACAAGGCAATAAGTGCATGGTAGACCTTACTGGGGTCAGAAGCATGAGCATTGGTATGAATGAGATGTGATGTATTCCTGATTGGCTGCCTTGGGGCCTCTGATGCAGAAATGCCGTTCAGATATTCAAAATACTGTTTTTTAATATATTGAGCATCTTCTACCAAGGCGGATGGAAAAAAAGAGATGAAATAAAACATTACATTGTTCTAGGTTTACAAAGATGTTATAATGTGAACTTTGATATGCTTATTAACATTATTATGTTGTTGAAGGTTTCCAGAGACAGAGGAGAGCAGCTGGCCATAGAATATGGGATTAAATTTATGGAAACATCAGCTAAAGCATCAATTAATGTAGAAGAGGCATTCTTTACTCTTGCTCGGGACATTAAAGCCAAAATGGAGAAAAAATTGGTTAGTTCTTCATATGTTTTTCTTGTTAAAGTTGCAATGCAGAGTACTGAATCTGTTTTAAGATATCCTCTATAGTACAGTATCTCTCTTAATACATCTTTTGTATATCTTTCAGTAATTTTCCAAAATTTTTTCATAGCTTAGAATTAAGTTCATTGCTTCATGTCTAGTATATGCAGAACCTAGTCCAAATTTTATGAACTTAATGTAATACATGTACTTCTGTATTTCCTGGATCTTTCTTAAAAGCCAATGTTTATTTTTATCCTTTGAACTTGCTACAGTATAGATGCTCCTTTAGCTTGCTATTACTTCTTGTAAGATAGTGAGGATCTTGTTTGTATTTTATCTGATAAGTTCTTTAGATTCATGTAGTCCTCTTTATATTAGCATTTTATTTTTAAAAGCACCGGCTGTCTCTCACCAAGGCAGGGTAATCTAAACAAAAACAAAACTTATTCCTTTTACATTTAGTAATTTATACAGAAGGGGTTACTAACCATTTACTATTATTATTATTATTATTATTATTATTATTATTATTATTATTATTATTATTATTATTATTATTATTATTATTATTATTATTATTATTATTATTATTATTATTACAGTGGACCCCCGGTTAACGATATTTTTTCACTCCAGAGGTATGTTCAGGTGCCAGTACTGACCGAATTTGTTCCCATAAGAAATATTGTGAAGTAGATTAGTCCATTTCAGACCTCCAAACATACACGTACAAACGCACTTACATAAATACACTTACATAATTGGTCGCATTCGGAGGTAATCGTTATGCGGGGGTCCACTGTATTATTATTATTATTATTATCATTATTATTATTGTTCAGGGGGAAGCACTGAACCTGTAGGATTCATTCAGCATCTGGAGAATGGGAGATAATAATAGCTTAAGCATCTTTCCTCTAGACTGAAATCTCGGCTTTAGCCCCCAGACTGAAATTTAGCTCATGTCCATTTCCTCCCAGATTGAATCTTAGGCTAAGCCCCCCCTCCTCTCCCCATACATTGAACTGATGGTTGTGCCTCTGTTTTCAACTTCACGTCTTTGTAAATTGGACATATTTCCTGAGTTTCTAACTTTCAGTTTTCATTGTTCTTTTTTATATACTACCTTCTCTGTTTTTTCTGAAGTAGTAGGCATTTTACATTGGTATATATGTATATAGTACCAGTGTTACAAGAAAATCACACACAAACGTACACGTGTGTATGTATGTAGTTACTGTATATACATGAGGTGTTCTCTGTACTGAGTGTTAGTAAAAGTTTGTAAGATTTTCCTGTCATCTTACATGTCCATGAGACAGGAAGAAAAGATTAGTAAGTTTGCCAGAGTGTAAAATGTTTAGAAGGTGTGTATTTTCCTACTTTGAAGACATGAAGGTCATACTTCCCTGTACTTTATCCTTTGTTGCTTTTTACTTCTACTTTCCCACTTGTATTTACTGTAACAAGCATCAACCTTTTCACAAATTCTTACAAAATAATAAAAGTCACAACACCATGGGTGGGATAATTGACAACATTATTCAGCATGATAATGGTCCAAGATGAATCAAAATGCAGTTTAAAGACTTTTTTGATGGATTAGACATGTGTACAACACCTGGGTATCTTTATTATGAGGCCGTTTAGCCAACCATTTTCAACACCTTCAGTGCTAAGGAACTAACTACCTTCTACTGTCTCCAGTTAATAACCTCTGTATTGATTTGATGAAACCACAGTGGTTGGCAAAGTATTTTCAAAATCAGGTTACTCAGGTATTGTAAGGTAAACATACATATATGCAACTAATGTGACATTTTATTGTGGCAACATATGTCACATTAGTTGCATCTGTGCCCATTTATCTAACATTTTCTCAGTAATTCTACCATTATTACTACTCACATGTTGCACATGTTTCTAATTCATCAATTTGCCTGTACGTATTATGTCTCATCATTTTTATGATATGAAAGACATGGCTCCTATTTGTGGGTTAGTTGTCAATCATATTCTTATTCATGAGTGTTAGCTTGTGAAAATTGTTATACAAGCGGCTCCCAACTTAGACACACTGATTTTTTTTTAACGTATAATTTGGGAGATTGTAAGAAAAAATAGTACTAAAGATGGTTGTTTTACACATGCTTATACAGTACTGTAGCTCAGTGGTTAAAACATTTTTGAGTGCCCTGTGTGTCATGCAAATTTGTGTAACTTGGTGTGTATGTTAAAGCTCTCCAATATACACTTAATAGTCAGCAAACTACAGTGGACCCCCGCTTAACGATCACCTCCAAATGCGACCAATTATGTAAGTGTATTTATGTAAGTGCATTTGTACGTGTATGTTTGGGGGTCTGAAATGGACTAATCTACTTCACAATATTCCTTATGGGAAAAAATTCGGTCAGTACTGGCACCTGAACATACTACTGGAATGAAAAAAGTTTGTTAACCGGGGGTCCACTGTACTTGTAAATTCTTTACAGATGATTTCCAGTACTTCTTTAAAATTCTTTAAATCTTTGAGGATGCTAAAAATATTTGGCTAATATACTATGTGAAGCAAACCCTAACAAATTTTTTTTTATCTTAAATGGAGCAAAGCAAAAAAGGATAAGAATAAATGGTTAATACTATAAAGTGTTATATTACAGTGGTTCATCTCAAAAACTAATAGCTTGGAATTTTGAATTTTGTTATTTTCAGAATCTGGTGTTTCTATAAGAAAAACTAGGTTGCTTAGATGAAAAAACTACAGCATCAGTAGCAACAAATTTTTATATTAAACTTGGTTTTTCTCCTCTTCTAAATTCTTCATTATAAAGATTTTTTTTTTTTTTTTTTTTTTTTTTTTAGAAAACATAGGTTACACTTCATGGTTATATGATGTGTATAGTTACAAGTTGGTTTCAGTTTTAGGCATCAGCGTAAAAATAAGCAGAGTTTATGAAATTGGAAAGATAACCAAGGCAAGAGAACGAGCTGCAAAGAGTGGAAATTTCGTGAGTCGTGAAGTTGAGGGATCACAGATACGGATGGTATGAAGGAAGAGTGAAGCAAGAACACTTCTTGACAGAAAGAGAATGATAAGAAAAGTAATGTATGTACATCTTAATGTACATAGGCTTGCATTAAATGGATGAAGAAAAGCCAGTCACAGGTCAGTGGGCATGAGCATTCAGGAAAGGAAACAGAGTTACATTCCTATTTGGCTCTGAACTTCATAGAAGGAACAAGATTGTTTAGGACATCAAGAAAAGATTGAAAGAGACCACAGAGCAAAGTCATCGTTGACATAGTGAAGCCAGAGAGAAGGATGTACCCCAGTAGTAGGAAGAAAGACTGTTTCAAAATATTCTATATAAAGGTTGGCAAGGACAGGGGATGGAGGAGAGGCCATAACAACATCAAAAGTTTGAGAACAGAATTTACCTTGAAAGTGAGAAAGAGTGAGTCCACATGAAGGATTGAGAGAAGAAGCAGCTCTTAATTGGCCTTCACTCTGAGAAAATTGAAATCATGAGAAAAATTTGTGAAGAGAAACTTAATGACAAGGCTTAGCATCTTACAGGTCAGATATGCCCTACCATATTCGATGAAGTCTCGTGAGCAATGGAGGTGAACCTGCCTTTTCCATTACAGAACAACCGTTACTTGATCTAACCTTCGCTGCCTCTTCTCCTTCCACTTCATTTGTCTTCTGCATTTGTCTTCTGTTTACAGTGAAACATATAAGTGAACAGTATTTAGATAAGGCTAAAGAGGTCTTTGTGGCATTTATGGATTTGGAAAAGGCGTATGACAGGGTGGATAGGGGGGCAATGTGGCAGATGTTGCAAGTGTATGGTGTAGGAGGTAGGTTACTGAAAGCAGTGAAGAGTTTTTACGAGGATAGTGAGGCTCAAGTTAGAGTATGTAGGAAAGAGGGAAATTTTTTCCCAGTAAAAGTAGGCCTTAGACAAGGATGTGTGATGTCACCGTGGTTGTTTAATATATTTATAGATGGGGTTGTAAGAGAAGTAAATGCGAGGGTCTTGGCAAGAGGCGTGGAGTTAAAAGATAAAGAATCACACACAAAGTGGGAGTTGTCACAGCTGCTCTTTGCTGATGACACTGTGCTCTTGGGAGATTCTGAAGAGAAGTTGCAGAGATTGGTGGATGAATTTGGTAGGGTGTGCAAAAGAAGAAAATTAAAGGTGAATACAGGAAAGAGTAAGGTTATGAGGATAACAAAAAGATTAGGTGATGAAAGATTGAATATCAGATTGGAGGGAGAGAGTATGGAGGAGGTGAACGTATTCAGATATTTGGGAGTGGACGTGTCAGCGGATGGGTCTATGAAAGATGAGGTGAATCATAGAATTGATGAGGGAAAAAGAGTGAGTGGTGCACTTAGGAGTCTGTGGAGACAAAGAACTTTGTCCTTGGAGGCAAAGAGGGGAATGTATGAGAGTATAGTTTTACCAACGCTCTTATATGGGTGTGAAGCGTGGGTGATGAATGTTGCAGCGAGGAGAAGGCTGGAGGCAGTGAGAATGTCATGTCTGAGGGCAATGTGTGGTGTGAATATAATGCAGAGAATTCGTAGTTTGGAAGTTAGGAGGAGGTGCGGGATTACCAAAACTGTTGTCCAGAGGGCTGAGGAAGGGTTGTTGAGGTGGTTCGGACATGTAGAGAGAATGGAGCGAAACAGAATGACTTCAAGAGTGTATCAGTCTGTAGTGGAAGGAAGGCGGGGTAGGGGTCGGCCTAGGAAGGGTTGGAGGGAGGGGGTAAAGGAGGTTTTGTGTGCGAGGGCTTGGACTTCCAGCAGGCATGCGTGAGCGTGTTTGATAGGAGTGAATGGAGACAAATGGTTTTTAATACTTGACGTGCTGTTGGAGTGTGAGCAAAGTAACATTTATGAAGGGATTCAGGGAAACCGGCAGGCCGGACTTGAGTTCTGGAGATGGGAAGTACAGTGCCTGCACTCTGAAGGA